GCCATACTGTATTTATTTGAGGATACAAGCAAGTTTACAAGGCAGAGGAGGGTCGTAATTGGCTATAAAAATTAAGAACAGGAACGATATGCTGTGTTGACTCTACTGAGGAAGTATCCTCACTAACTCTTTGGATACTACAAAGAGAAAACAAACGGTGGTAACTGTGAGTTGTCCTTAAATCAACAAAGTAACCAGCAGCCACACAGCAAAATATCTTTCGGAAAGCCTGCTGAGCTCCCTCTCATTGAACTGTTGTTGTATTAAATTATTTCAGTTGATATGAAGAGGCAACATTGCAAACTCTTTGGCCTTCACTTCTTCATATTTCAAGGAGAAGTTCTGTTGAGAAGAACGGGGCTCCTTTTCTTAAAGAAGAAAGCCAGACTATGGAATAGACTTTCTAAAACACCAGCTTGGAGGGGACAATAATTCTGTTAAGAGGACAGAATTCAAAAGGTGTTGGGGTTTTTTTAGTTGGTTGTTTTTTTAATCAACTGGATAAATAGCTTAATATTGTTTTCAAATGTGTAAAAGTTAGCTAAAAATGATGGATTTTTAGGATAAAACAATCCTTAAAAAAGAGGCTTGAACTACAGCCACAGAACTGTAGCTCAGAAGACCTTAGAGGAAAACTTTCTAGCAGGAAGATCCAAAGCACTGGCTATTTTTATTTCATACCAAAACTTTAAAATTGTTTTCTATTGTTATACACAAAACAATTTTAAAGTCTTTTGATCTAGACAGTGACTAAATCCATTACTTGTAGGGCACTAGCTGTTGATATTTTATTTTACTGTGTGGACTAATATACTAGACAAAATGGATTTTCAGATTCATCATTCTCATTAATTGCCAAGTTGACCACAGCTTGCTTAAAACACCAAATTATTTTTATTTTTTAATTGAAAGAAAACTAAAGAGATGAATATGAATCTGAAATACATATTTTAATCTAAGAAATGAAATTAAATTTACCAACTTGTTTACACACTCACAGTTATGAGAAGATGGATTAGATCTTCCCTTAATAGTTTCTGCTGCTGGGAGTCAAATTACATGTACTTGATTTGTTTTCAGAGTTATTTGCATTTTTAAATCTGCCTCTGAAGTAATTATTAAAATAGATTTTAAGGGTCAAACACACTTGTAAAACTTAGAGAGGTGGAAGACTATGGTTTCCCACTGTAGCAGTGGCTGCACCTCTGAACATAGAGCAAGTCACTGACTTTCATCAGCAATTACTTTGTCACCGTATCTGTGGGTAAATATTACCTGCAGGTTACAGGCTAATGATAAACTTTCTATTTTATTGCCCTCTCATGCATCAAATCAAAAGTGTTTCAGAGGAGTTATATACCAGAAAAATGGACATATGAAGTGAGAAAGCAAGCATTATTTGATCCATCTCCACCTATTTTGTGCCTTCATGCTGCCTCATGGAAAAATGGGCACAAAAACAAAGGACAGAGGAGTGCCAGCAGAACTAGGCTGCAGTTGGACAATTACCCTTGACAGCACAGCGCCCCTTTGGATAGCCTCCTCACAACTGTAGAGCATGACTGCAGCCTCTCTAGACACTTATTCCAGGAGCTCTTAACAGCTCTTTTGTGGTGAGCAGCTAAGAGATCAAATGGCAAATGCCACTGGCAGGATCCCATAACCCATCTAGGAGAGAAGGCATGGCACAGTAGTGTGGGAAGGTGTGGGAACCAGATCTGGCTTCTAGAGAAAAAGAGAGGAGAACAACCGCAACAATCTTACGAAGATGCAAAAGACCTGATGGATCTTCTTAAGCATATAGGACTTACAGCCTAAAAGACACTTCACTCTTGCATTGGCCAAGCCTAACAGAAGGACATGGTCGACCTCTAGTTCCCACTCAACTGTGGCAGCACTCCTGTTTCCAGACATGCAGGAATGTATTACACCAGCCTCTCAGAAGCTTTCACCTGGGGATTTCACACAGCACTGCTGACATGCTCTAACAGCACTGCCCATTGTCTCAGTATCAGCTGTAACTGCAGTGAAGCTGCATGATCCCGAGTCAGAGTGACAGTTCTTTTACGGCTCTTACTAAGCCAAGATGTGGCTGAGCACAATTGCTACCTCGGTTATGTTAAGGAAATGCTTCGACTGAAAAAAGCACTGCTCCATGGTTCCATTTTAGGACCAGATTTTAACCAACACTTCAGGTCATCCTTATGAGCAGTGAAGAAAAGCATCCCAAGTGGCCTGGAATGCAAAGGCAACTTTGCATAAAGGAGAAGCCTGAACTTTGCATTGTTCCATTTCCATTTGACCAACAAGCTGCAGACCATTTTCCTTGTCCTTCTGAGCAGAGAGCAGTTGAGATGTGCACACAGATGCACTAGTTTGAAGGAGCAGGAGCAAAAATCCTCCTGGCCTGCTATTGCTGTATTGGACCAGGGGAGTGTAATTACCACCTCACAGTCCAATCACATGTGCCTACCTTGTATTTTGATTTCTTCTGGATGGCTATCATAAAAAGACTATAAAGCACTGGAAATAGAAGTCCAGTGCTTCAACCCAAGAGTAGATGCTCTGCACTCACTACAGACGGATCTCTTTGCAAACACATACTCAGTATATCACATCTGGCTTCTCCCATTCACAAGCACCTCATCAGATGCCTGTTTCTTTCAAGGTTGTCTTTGTACAAACACCATATTCATGCAAAATCTTTACCTCCAGTTTAAAAGTGATATCAAACCATTTTGTGACATCAAATAAATTGATTGGTCTTTCTAGACAACTTCAAAATCCCTCTTACATTGAACATCTGAGTGCAGAAAACTATTTGACATTTGACTACCTCCTTCATACAGTAAGGACTTGACACTATGAAAGGAGTGTATTTACAATAGCTTTGTTCTTGCAAATGTCACCCAAGAATCAGCAGCAGCACAGCAGCAAAACACCGGGTGCCTGCCACACATTCTGTTAACGAGTGGATGGAAAGGTTGCATTGGGAAGCAGAGCAGTAGGACATTATTTGATTACACTCTCAGTAAATCTTTTGGTAAAGACTTGCACTAGCCTTTCAAAGGAAATTGTCAAATACAGAGGCACACTATTTTAGCTATACAGTTCTTATAGCTGGGATGTGAGACTAACTAGTTTAGAAAGCTTCAACAATAACTGCAGAAACTGAGAATCCAGGTCAGAACACACACACACATCTGACAGATTAACGCATGTACTTGGTTTGAGCGGCAAGGTTTTGACAGCGGGGAGGGGGCTACAGGGGTAGTTTCCATGAAAAGCTGCTAGAAGCTGTCCAACAGAGCAAATGCAGCCAGCTCCAAGATGGACCCACTGCTGGCCCAAGTCAAACCCATCAGTGATGGTGGTAGCACCTCTGAGATAACAGGTCTAAGAAGTGACTAAAAAAATCCAACCAGCAGCTTCAGCCAGAGAGGAATGAGAGAATACGTGAGAGAAATAGCCCTGTAAACACCAAGGTCAGTAAAGAAGTGGGAGAACATGCCCCAGGTTCCAGAGCAGAGATTCCCCTGCAGTCCATGCTGAAGACCACAGTGAGGCAGGCTGGCCCCTCAATCCATGGAAGGAGAAGAGTTTGTGTAGGTGGAACCTGTGACCCCATGAGGGACCCACACTGGGGGTAGTCTGTTACTGAAGTCTATTTCCTCCATCCCACGGAAAGGAACTACACTGGAGCAGTTCATGAAGAAGTATAGCCTATGGGAAGGACCCACATTGCAAAAGTTTGTGAAGGACTGACTTCTGTGGGAGGGAGCCCACACTGGAGTGGGGGAAGAGTGAGAGGAGTCCTTCCACTGAGGAGGAAGGAGCAACAGAGACAATGTGTGATTGACCACAGCCCCTGTGTCCCACCCCCCTCTGCTGCTGGGGTGGAGGATGTAGAGAAAACTGTGAGTGAAGCTGACCGTGGGAAGAGTGGAGGGATGGTAGAAAGATGATTTAAGATTCAGTTTTTATTTCTCATTATCCTACTCTGATTTGATAGGTAATAAATTCAATTAATTTTCTCAAGTCAAGTCTGTTTTGCTTGTGTCAGTAATTGCTGAGTGATCTCTCCCTGCCCTTATCTCAAACCACAGGCCTTTCACTATATTTTCTGTCCCCCGTCCAGCTGAGGAAAGGAGGGATACAGTAACTTTGGTGGACACATGGTATCTAGCCAGGGTCAACCCACCACAAGGAGAAAAATCTTAGTGGCTATTCAGCATGTTTTTGCTTTCCAGAGTCTAGGAATGACGGAAACATAAGAGAGGAAAGATGGAAGCTTGGCAAGTTTTAAGCTTTCTAAAATTTGTAACTTAATCATCCAGTCTATGTTGCAGCTTTGAGCTGTAGCAGGGACTACTGCACCAGAATTGCAGCACACAACTCCTTAGCCACAGCACTTTACTATCACATTACACCTGCCCCACTCAGCACCTTTCAAGGTAGATGAGTGTTATGTGAGAGCAAACTTGCTAAGGACAAAGTAACAGACTTAAGTGATGTCTCACTAACAGAAGGCACTGCAAAGTGACTTAAAAGTGGCACAGAGAAGTTTGTCATCTGTTGCTGCTCCCTGATCTCCAGATAACTGAGTTCAGTTTGCAAGCAGAATGAGCACCCCACAATGCTCAACAGGCTGCTGTTACGGGCCAACTCAGCCTGAGTGCTCCATCTTCAGAGACAACTCAGCAATCAGAGCCTGCAAATCAATATATTTTTAGAACACCTCCATATGTCATGTCAAATCTCTAATTCTTTTCCCAACTTCATCACTTCACCACACCCCTCCTGATCACTGTAACACTCAACTCCTTTTAGTGAGCTTCCTTTGGAGTGACTGGGTGGCTTTTGAGCACACTTAAACCTTCAAAGTGAGAACAGCGAAGCACACTATAATTTCTACATCATCTCTGAAAGTGCACAGTTCTAGACAATATACCCTTCAACTCCTAGCTCATAATCATTGAAACACAAAATCAACTGCTCACCTTTTGATCCAGACTATAGGCCAAGATCCACTCCTCCTGCCTGGGGTGGAAGAGCAAGCTCTGAATATAGAAGTTCAAACGGTACTTCTGGTAGGTAGCCCCTTCATCCGAGCTGATGAGGATGCTGCTCTCAACCTCTGGATCGCTAAGAAGCATGATCTAAACAGGAAAATGGAGGCAAAAGAGTGTTAGTGGAAAAGCGAAATTAACTGAACATCATTTAAAAGTAAGGTCATACAGCACTAACTACTATTAGATGTATTGAGAACAGCACTCAACAGGCCATAGAATTTCCAAAATAGGGTGCTTTTTTAGTGTTTTGGTTTCATTTTATTTGCTGATTCACTTGATGATCTATTTAGTGATTTCCTTTTTTCATTTTAATTTTATTCAGATAAATTCAGAAAGGTCAGCAAGAATGAAAAAATGTTATGTTGGTATAAAAGCTGAACTTGGTTGGATATAGCAACCTCAGGCAGCCACAGCAGGTTTTCCTGACCCTTGTCAGTCTACTACCTCTCTTACCAATTGTGGAATCCTCTCTCTAAAAGTAAAAAGAACATTCCTGGGATTTAAGGATCATTATTTGGCAGTTTGCAGAGCTATGAATGAGAGCATCACTTCACTGGAAACACAAAATGCTTACCTGGATCAGCTGCTGCCATCTGAAAATGTGCATATGCACAAACATTGATACACGATGTCATATATCATGCTTCCAATTTGTACAGTAAGAGATATTCACTCTCTCAGTGAAAACATAATTTTCCCCAAGCACGAGAATGTGTATGACCTCAATTTGTACAGGGAAGAAAACACTTCTGAGCCTCTGATTTTAATTAGAAAATTATTACCAGTATTTTAAAATGGGTTGATTCCGCACTATCAGATGGCATGCTCTACATAAATGTTATCAAGAAAATGTTGTGGAAACATTAACACCACCTTATTAACATCTGGAGAAAATGACTCCACATTAAAGCAAATGCCAGGACCATAAAATAAAGGCAAACAGTGGGAATAAATTACAGCTGTTCTAAACTCAGCAGGTTATTGATACAGCAGATGAATCAAATATAGAAACTGTCTATCAGCGGGAAAACAGATCCAGGAATGGCCTTTTTTAGCTCACTGCAGAATGATCAGCTAGCTGAGATCTGCTGCAGTTTTGTTACACTCACATGTCCACGACAACTTTTATTATCCAGATTCACAGAGCTCCAGCTTCAAGATTACAATAGGGAAACACATTAATTTTGACAGCAAAAATCAGTTACAAGGAATGGTAAGACCCTTGGTATGTTAGACCTTGATCAAGCAAAAAATTTCAGTGCTTGTTTAATCTTAAGCAGCTCATTAACTCCATGAAGTCATCAAGGGAAAGTGAATATAACATAAATGGTGTCTGATCCTTTCCACTAAGAAATGAAAAACTGAACTAGAACAGAATGTTTTCCCAGGGTGAAGCCATCTGTATGAATCCAGCTTGAGCTCAAAGCTCCTTCAACATCCCTCACATATACCACTTAATCAGTCCCAAAAATCAATCTCCACCCATTCCCACAGGAAGCCACACCACAGATCCTAAAGGAGTGCATTTTCATTGTGTTCTAGTGCACCGTCTGGGGAATGAGAAATGTTCCCATATGCAACTAACTCCCCGGAAACCGGCCTTGAGAATAGATCTCAAAGGTCTCCACCTAGAAGGAAGCTTTGGTACATTTCTTCTTTCTAATCAGATCAAGATCTCTATTTTATTTGGCTCCAAAAAATAATGATTTAACCACTATTTCCAAGATATTTTTTTCTGTCATTGGTAACCTAGACTTCAGAGATATTTCATCTACCCGTGTTCATCTAAAGCATATTGTCTGTGCCAGAGAACTGTAACACAGTTCAGTAAAAACCACTTGTTTCTACAGAATGGAAGAAGGATGTAAAGCTGCCCACTTAATAAGATAATCCAGAAAGATCTTACATTTAAAATAAAGGAATAAAAGTATTTTCCACCTGATGTCATAGAGGGTTACAATGTTAATAATGCTGTATATTAAAAGGTCACTGTTGGAGTACTGCTCTCAAATAGGGAGCACAAGAGAGCTAACAGTACACAAACAAAAACACTGCCCTTTCACAAATGATCTGCAAGACTTTGGTGTTCAAGGAATGAGTCATATGAGATGCAAAAGGCAGCATTTCCACCAAATGATTCACAAAACTGGACAATTTTTTTTTTTCTGGATGCATAACAGTGGTTGCAAGATCAGATAAAACCATCAAGCTAGGAAAGGTGGAAGAATCTAACAACAGTCACATGTAGTGGTAAGTGACATCACATAAGTCACCTCCCGTCCCTTTGTCTACTTCCTATATCAACTCTCCATTCTTCAAATGAACATACACAACATGTCTTTCGTCATCTATTCTCCTAGGCAAGGCTGATCCTGCACAGAGCAGGATGGAAGAAACAGGAGGCTCAATCAAGAGTGGGAAAAAAAAGGCCACCACCAGCCATGCAGCTAGGACTGGCACACAGGTTTGTTACACGGCAAGCAGGAGAAGAGTGAGAGACCCTGGGCCTCATTTTGATTTTTGGTTTCATACTTTTTCTCCTGGAAGCTATCAGGGGGAGGGAACTTTTGGCAGGGGAAATAGCATGACATTTGTCAAAGGCCTGAAACCACCACTTCTCATTATGGGGCCAGGATGAAAGATCTACCCAGTAGTGATTTAGATTAATCACTTTTCATTAAGAGACAATAAACAAACTCCAGTCAGAATGAGCATTTCTGCCAGCACCCTGTGTTGCCATTTATAATTGCCATAAGGAAGAGCAAAGGAGCACCAGAGAGTTGTCAAATGTAATTTATAGGGCTTTAAGATCTAATAATTTTCTATAAAATTAAATTAAATGGCAGTCTTTACTTAAAAGGAAATTACATTTCACCTTGCTACATTCTAGATTTTATATATATACACACATGCATATATAAAATATTCTTTTCAGTTGCTATCTTCTCTAGTTTAAGTGGAGAGGGGAGGGGAGGCAGGATTGGTGACTTCTAAGGGTAAGTCCTTGAAAACATACTTGAGATGAGGTAGTTTATGCTACGTACTTTTTCCTGACCTCCAAAATGCAGTGAACAATGAATGGCAAGCACCAGACCGAACAAAACAGGCTGAAAATCAGATTGAACTTCAGAGAGTTTCTTGGGAATGGATGCAGAGGAAGAGAGCTGTCTGGGACATGGTGCACCTCCTTTAAAGCAGGAGCTTTGGGGACAATCATGACACATACAGAGCTGTTCTGGATGAACCCCAGTTGGGCAGAACATCAGACACCAGCGGGAAAAGCACACAGAAGGAAGATGATACAGAGAGGCCACCCTGCAACATTAACTACAATGTATGGACTGAGATATTCAGTAGATGATCAGGAAACATATCCAGCTCTGAACACTTCAAGGAGATTTAACCCAGGAAACGAACAGCACAAGCTGCAGGCACAAAGCACAAGGAGGGGAGGTGTGATACCTATATCTGCCATGATGTATTTGGTACACAAACCACAGTAAGAGTCACTCATTTGTTGGAGAGCATGTAGGACCCTTAAAGTAGCTTTGAACAAATGCAGAATTAGAGAGGAAGGAAAATGATACCATATTACAGCACAAATGTACAAAGAAGTTATGCCCTCCAACGGGGCTAATATAATAAAAACTAGGGTAGGACTTGTAACTAAGAATCTGAGTTTCTGCTACTCTGATTAACATTCCAGATATGTCACTTGGGTTAATGCAAACACTTTCCTCAGTATTGCTTTCACACAGGCTATGTGCAGGTGGATGAGTTAAGATGGTGACACATTCCTCTCCCTCTGCTCCAAGCTAGCCAGGCACAAGACAACTGTGATCTGGAATACTGAACTGTACCAGTAATGAGCTAGCACACTTCTCACAGGCACAATGCTACAGCATGCCCAGACTCTACTGGCATGGAGCTATGGGTAGCCTGAGCTCGTATTTGCCTGAATCTGTCTACTACAGTTATGCCAAGGACTCCCCCATAGCTTGGCACTCAGTCCTTCCCTCAGTACCCTTCATGGCTTTGCCCTCATGTCAGCAGGCACGCTTGGCACATTACATTATCCTTCCTCTTCTGCACCTGAGGCACAAGAACACACACACACACATTCCCCATGTTATTACCTGCATCCATAGCACCACATTCAAAAGCTTTATCACCACTCCTGCTCCCTGGCTCTGTGTCATTCAAACACAATACAAAGCTGACTTTGTTAACAAACCACCACTGGATAAAAACACTAAAACAACATGCCAAATAAAGAGCATTTTTATTAATATTAGTTCTCAATGAACATAAACTTTCACTGTAAATTACCAAAGGACATCTCTCTAAATCAGCACAGAGCAGTTTTATGGGTACAATATCTGTAGAAGTAGTACCACTCAGTTACATTAGCAGGAAGGATCCCAGTAAATGAATAAAGAAGCCAGGTTCAAATATATGTCTTTTGTTCCGAGAAATAAGTAGATAGTATTAAACCATTCTGTACTGCCTTCTGATTCTACCTTCACTTTAATACATTTTCCATAAGTGGTCCTTTTCAGAGGTCCCAGTCACATTCTCATTTGCCTATATAAAGTGCTCTTCTAAAAAGAAATAAACGAAATGCTTAAAAAAAAGAAAAACAAACAAACAAACAAACAAAGAGATAAAAAACCCCTACAAACCATGCAAGCCTCCATAGCCACAAAAGAAATCCAGCTCCTTAGCAAAGTATTAGAATTTGCTCTGTAGTGCTGCATTATCCTCTCCTGCAACTGAAAAGGGTGTTCTGCCACAAACACTGCTGCAAAGACAGAAATTTAAGGTTTCCTGTTTACAGCTTCATAGGGATTTCCATACTGAATATGCTCAGTTTACAAGTGAAAAGGCTTATTTTGGAGGTTTTTGGCCTCTTCCCACTGGTCCCTCAACTCAGAAACACTTTAAATCCTTCCTAACAACAGGTCATATCTACATCATCAACAAGAAAACACAAATCTGATTTAAAAAAAAAAAAGAAAAAAAGGGGTATTTTTATTTCTTTTCCATTCTGATTTAAAATATTTAAGGGGTTGTATGGTCCCACAAGA